GGTTGACTGGAATGGCCCCCCCCCCTGCGCACCGCTCTGCTGGCGGCAGCCCGTGTGCAGCCCTCACTACCCCCCCTAGTCCTCAGCTCTGTGCGAGCTGCGTACATGATACATGTCCTGTTCCGTCGCGGCCGGCGGCTGCACCCCCCCGATGATGACGCCCCAGAAGAAACGGGAAGGGGCAGTGGATGGGCACCCTAGAGGGCCATGAGGTGGCCAATCAGTCCACGGATGCGGATCGCGCTGTCCACCCACCATCGGGACAGGCGCCGGCACCACCCCTCGCAGCGGCGGGTCTCTCCCCCGGGAGGCCGCCAAATGACAGGGGAAGTGGCGACCTCACATATGTGGCCGTGCGGCTGTTGGCCGCGCCTCCCTCCTCCTCTGTCAACCAAATGTGAATGCGGATGTTGGCTGCGCCTCCCCTCCTCCTCCTCCTCCTTCTCCTCGCCGACACATGTGCACTTGCGGCTGTTGGCCGCGCCCCCCCTCCTTCCCGTGGCCAGATTCAGCCCTTGCTGCGTTCCAGCGCTCCATGAGGTGGTCGCGGCAGCTACGAATCTCGGCGACTATCGTGGCCGTTACCTGCAAGTGCAATATACCTGCCCTTGGGCCAGCATGTTCTCTCTCATCGTGGCAGCCCCGACCAGTTACTGGCTTCGGACACGATGGCGGCACACCGGCCCCCTCCCTGGCAGCAGTGCGGTCCGCGGAGTGAGTGTTATGTTGGTACTTGCCGTCCCCTGGCTCTCACTGTGGTCAGTTTCGGGTCTGACTACCCAGTGTTTGTGTGCTGGCCGCGGCTGCAGCGTACCTCGGCGACCTTCGGCCGTTGCCCGCTTGGCGGCAGGACTGGCGCATGGGCCTGCGTGTCCGCTTCCTTCGTTGCTCCCTGGCCTGTGATTGGTTTCGGAGACGATGGCTGGAGCACCAGCCCCACCATGGGCAACGGGTGGATCGTGGAGTGAGAGCTCTGTAGGTCCCTGCCTTTTTCTGCCGACCCCGTACGGCGGTGGTACGTCGCGCTGAGTGGTGCAGCCTTCAGCGTGTCGCTTCGGTACTACCTGCCTGTCCGGCTAGTGTGGCGGTGCGGAATGGCGCCGACAGGGCGACTCCCGCTGCGTACCTCAGCCGACCTTGCGTACGGCGGTGCTAAACCCTCGCACTAAGTGGTTCTGCCTTCGGCGTGTCGGTCCCACCTGTTGGCCGGTATCTGGTTTCGGTGCGGTGGCCGACGCACCGGCCCCACCATGGGCAGCGGTGTGGATCGGGGGGTGAGAGTTCCGTTGGTCCCTGCCCTGTGTTTCCCTACCCGCGCACGGCGGTGGTACCTCGCGCTGAGTGGTTAAGCCTTCAGCGTGTCGCTGTGGCCCTACCTGTCTAATCGGATCGGCTGGCTGCGCGGACTGGCGCCGGCAGGGCGACTCTTCCGCAGTGTTTCCACGAGCATCTTGCTTACTTCGTGTGCATACTCGCGTACTGCGGGTTTTTACTGCAGGTGCCTTGCCTGTCGTAGCTAATTCGCTTCGCCTGCTGGCCCAGACGACGCCTACCGCTCCCTGTCCGCCGCTTCGGAACCGCCGACCAAAAAAGTCTCCCCACCGGCCCATCTAGAAACGATCAGCAGGGGAGTTGGTGAATCAGGGACGGCTGGCAGCATGCAGTTGCGCGGCCGTCTTCAGAAAACAACGTCACCAATAGCTTCCCGCACTGAAGCTTCAGGTGGAAATCGGATCAAGTTACGACGTGGTGCTCCCCTTGGTAAACGTCCCTAGCGCAGGTGGCTGTATCCACCTCGGCTCATGAGAAGGATCGCACATAACTTCCCGCAGCGAAGCTTAAGACGCTTAAGATGGAAACTGGTGCAAGATCCGCCGGGGCGCTCCCTGTGGTAGGCGTTTCTTGCGCAGGCGACTGTCTATATTTTTCCTTCGTCGCCCTTGTCGCACAGTTGAGAGTCGCATCCCCATATGCATCCTTGGTCTCTGCCCCCGCACTGATGTTTATCTTGAACTTGCGTGCGGTTGGTGGTGGTGGTGGTGGTGGTGGTGACGATGGTGGTGATGCTGTTGGTGTTGTTGCTTGTGGTGCTCTGTTGCCCTCTTGGCGCCATCTTGGAGCAAGTGGTGCTGCTGTTGCTGGTGATGCCTGGGGCTATTTTTGGTGGTACGAGGAGGAGTAGTATTAGTAGTAGGAGGAGGAGGAGAAAAAGGAGGAGAAGAAACAGAAAAGGAGGAGGGGAAGGAGGAGGAGGAGGAACAGGATGAACGCGGTGCGAGGAGGATCAAGAGGAACAGGGAGGCGGCAGGAAGGAAGCACGGAAGGAACGGACGATGACAAGGAGGACGAGAAGTCGGGCTTTGGGCATATGTCGTGGTGGGGTGTTCTTCGAAGATTCGTAATGCCATTTGAGCGCCATCTTGGGGTCCTGTTGGGGTCCTCTGGGGGCCTTCTTGGGACCGTGGGTTTTTTGAGAGGGGCCTGCTTGGGGGTATCCAGGCGTGTGTCCGAGGATCGTGCCCAAATGCAGGCCGTTTTCCCGGTGCCGTTCACGCAGGCTGCGTGCGTTGCTATCCGGGTTTCGGATTACATAAGTTCCGGCCCCCCGAAAACGAGGGGATAGAGGCGGGGAAAGTCTGGCGAAGAGGAAAGGTAGCACAGGGCGAAGAGGGTTCCAGGCAGAAAACGACCATATGTAGACCCTAAGTGAGCCCCATGTCGGGTAGCCCGACCCCAACGGGCCAAAGGCGGGTACCAGAAAAACATATAAACAATGATGTTGCCCAATTTCTGGCCTGCCCAGAAACGATCCGGCACAAAGCGTAAGAAAAGGTCATCCGAATTCCAAAAAGCCGTCAAACATGTAGCGAGTGCGAGGCGCGAAGAGGACGGTGGGAAGGGAGGAGGAAGGACGTAAAATGAAAAGGAAGGAGGGTGAGGGAGGAAAAACAGCGGCAGACGACGTGAACGATAAGGATAGAGATGGGAAGAACAGGCGAGTGGGGAGGGCCACGCCCCAACGGCGGCACCACGCGAGGCGCGCACTCTCCGTTCCACGCACAATGGTCGGGGGGGCGGAGAAAAGGGAAGGAGGAGGAGGAGGAGGAGGAGACGGTGGAGGACGACGACGCCGCCGACGAAGACGACGACACAGATTTGCGAATCACACCCAGCTTGGCGATGCGTCTTCGGAGAGCTATAGGTGCCAAATTACAATGAACCAGCGCATCGGCAAGTCTGGGATTTAAACTACGTAGGCACCTGGTTAAAACGGCGTCTAGCCGAGACAAAGCGAAAATGGAATCGTGGGTTTTGGCCGATGTTGCGTACTGAAGAGATTTGAGGATGGCGCTCTGAACATTCCGAGCACATCATAATTTTCAAGGAAACGCCGCGAGCGAAGAATTGCGCGGACGCGTCAGCGTGTGTCGGACAAGCAATCGCTGATGATGTCACGCTCCAAGTTTTCTAAATCGAGTCGCGCGACTAGAATCTTGAAGTTCCCACCCGCTGGCTGGGATCGTACATCCATGCGTTGGCCCCTTTGGTTGTCATCAATTTGGACGCGGCTGGCGCGCCCCCGCTCGTGGAGCAAGCAGCTGTTCGATCGAAAACCGCAGCGTGGTTTACGTCGGCAATGGCCTCCTAAAAGGCAGTGGTGCAACATGTGAAGACAATGCATTCGAAAACAACGGCCCGAATAGCCAGGCGCGAGTCGGCGAAGAGTCTTCGCAAATTGTAGCGGTCTACTGTCGTGCCGTGGTACGCCATACGCATTATCCATGGGTACTACCCTGGAGGCATGGCCGAGGACAATGACCTGGCCAATTCGTGGAGCTAGCCAGCTGTTCAGCACTGCGCAGATCCGTGGGTGACAACAAAAACAGCAGAGCTTGGTAATGAGGGGAATAGGAGGAAGAGGTAATGGAGGGAGATGAAAAGGGATGATGACGATACTGATGATACTGATGATGCTGATGCTGATGATGATGATGATTCTGATGATGATGGTGGTGGTGATGATGCTTCTGATCATGATGATGATTATTACGGTGATGATGGTGATGGTGATGGTGTTGATGATGATGATGATGCTGGTGATGATGATGCTGATGATGAGGACGCGAGGAGGAGGAGGAGGAGGAATGGGAGGGGGAGGAGGAAAGGTGCACCAGCATTGTGGTGCATACAGGCGTTGAGGTGTTGTGGGACAACTTGTTGCCGCGGCTGCAGCAGCTGGTGGTGCACAAAAGCGCCGTGGTGCACATGCTCTGTGGTGTGTGCAAGCGCTGCGGTGCATGCGGGCACTGTGTTGTACACGGGGCTGCAGTAAACATGGTTGCTGCTGTTTGCGAAGGCGTTGCGTTGTGCACAAGCGCCGTTGCGCGTGTGGCTCGCCTTGACGGGTGCTCGCATGGTGTTCGCGTTTTGTTGTTCTGAAAGGCGTCGAAAGTAAAGGTGCGTGCGAAGTTATTATCTGTGACGCCATTCCCGAGACCCCAATCCGATTGATTGTCATATTGTTAAGCCCTGGATATCTGGAATTTCTGGAACTTCTCCTTCTCGCCCACTCCTGGAGCCCACTCCTTCTCCTTCTGGAACTTCTCCTTCTCCTGATTTGTGCAGGCTCACGGAAACTCGCCCAGGGCAAGCCGGAACGACTCACCGGGACCCGAGGCATCCCTGCACGGGGTGCCACGGGGAAGTACGTGGGGTCTCAGTACGTGTAGGGGTAGACTTCTCTGTAGGGGTAGCTGGAAAATCACGAGTCCTTCTTCCCGCAATCGTTTAGAACGAGTTTCTTCTGACCCCACGGAGCACCTCTGGCCTTGCCCACACCTTCCCTAGGCTGTCCGACGAGGGGGGAATGGAGAAGGGACGGGGTGTTTCAGAAGGCGGCGGGGCTACTCAGAAGCACTGCCTCCTTGCGAAGAGCACTCTGTTCGGAGAAGGCTTGGAGTGAGTCGCCTCCTCTTCCCCTCCCCCCGGGCCTCGCCCAGACGTCGGCGCCGAGCCGCGGCAGGGCAAGGCGGCTTCTCCGCTCCTCGGAGTTCGAGGGGAGGAAGGACTGGGAGAAGCAGGTGGGCACGGAGGGGAGGGGGGGGGGGCTGAGGGGAGGAGGGGGAAGGGCGCGCGGCGGATTGGGGAGCGAGGGGAGGGCGGGGAGGGGAGGGGAGGGGACGGCGGGAAGGGGAGGGAGGGGAGGGGCAGGGCGTGGGGACACCGCGGGGAGAGGAGGTGCCAGAGGTGGGGGTGCACGTGGGGGGGCGCGTGGAGCGACAGGGCGCTGGAGGCAGGGCGTCCTGGGGGAAGGGCATGCAGGGATGCAGAGAGCTGGGAGCGGGGTGGCCTGGCTGGGAAGGTGTTCGCGCAGGCTCGTCGTGCAGGCCCTCGTTCACCCCTCGTTCTCCCTCTCTCCCTCTCTCCCTCTCTGTCTCTCTCTACATATATAGGGGGGGCTGGTCTACAACAGGTATGACGACGCTCCTCGCCCACCAGACTGTCACGGCAGAGGTGGTCACGGCGCGGGTGGCGATCCGCATCCACGTCCAAGCAGGCGCACGACAACAGCGACCCAGGAGGCGAAGGTCCACCAGGACCCCACCTCAGGCGCTACATTGCGGCCGATTCCGGATCATACAGGGGCGGACCACACAGAAGGCAGTACGTACCATACCGTATTCCTTGACACAGACAGCCACTCTCTTGTGCACAACCACGCCAGCAACGCCAACCCGTTGGGAGAGGATCTGGGCATTGTAGGCGAGGGGTCGCGGACCGCGCCCTCATGGCCAGCTCCGTCGCCCCAACCCGCTAGGCTGCCCAGTGCCATCGCACAGCCGGTTCCCCCAGCACAGTGCTTCCTCCCACTAGGCATACCATCCCCCGCCCCACCAGGGAACGGGACCGAGGGCCCTACGCAGTACCACGCACCAGGGTGTAGGCGTCCGAGTGCAACCAGTGCAGCGTACCGATCGGAGACGTGTCCCCACACAACGCCTTACCGCGGCCAGGCAACAGCCAGCCAAGGATCACGAAGCCGCACTAATCAGAAGGATCACGGCGATGCAACAGCGCGCCTCCAGCCTCGCACTCACGTTGCGTAACATCCAGAAGCAGTGCAGACCCTTTCTCGACAGGTTTCAAAGAGCACAGTGCGCCCAGAACGAGCTCCAGCAGGCCGATCGCACGCCTGCTCTCCCTGGAGCCTCTCCAGGAAAATCTCCAGGGGCGACGTGCTGCTCACCGCTAGCGCACCAGTGCCAGCCCTATCGTTTCTTTCTTTCGTGCGCTGCGGGGGCACCTGGCAACATGTTCCGTCGACCTGGCACTGGGCCGCCGAGGGGCATGCCCCAAGGCGGTGCCTCTTCCATCCAGGGCATCGATGTGCGCATGTCAAAGCGCGCTTGAAGCCGATGCCTCCTTACGGCACGGGCGCGCAGAGGGGGCGTTCCACGCACTCATCGCCACGCCCTTCCAGTTGTTGTCCAGTTGTTGGCCTGCAGCGCCCCCGCCGGCGTGCACCTTGCAGGTCCGAGTCCGAGTCCGAGTCCGAGTCCGAGTCGGTGCCCTTTTTGTGACCGCGCCGGGAGGTGGTTTCGGCCCCCTGTGCCAGTCATTTGTGGTCCCCCTCCCGCCAAAGGGGTGCGGGCAGAGGGGAGTTTGTTTCCTTCGCCCGAGGGCCAGGCTTGGTCCGAAGTGTTGCGCGTTCTATCTCTCTCTCTCTCTCGCTTATATGTTTGTTCTCTCTCTCTCTCTTTCTCTCTCGCTTATGTGTTTGTTCTCTATCTCTCTCTCTCTCTCTTTGTGGCTCTGTTTCTCTTCCCCCTCCCCGCAGTGCTGAGTGTCAGGGCCGTCTGCAGCACCACGAGCCGACGGCCAGCGCATCGAGCAGCAACAGTATCTGAAAGCATCTCGGTGAACAGGTTGCACCACCGCCATGATTCGGGGGCGTTCGGGCGGAGTGGTCCTGAACGCCCTCGTTTGCGATCCGAAGAGGAGGAGGATGAGGAGGAGCAGCAGAAGGAGGAGGAGGAGGAGGAGTTGCGATTCTTCAGGCGAAGAATGTAACCAGCACGCGTCATGGCCGTTTGGACAGAAAACCATGGCGTGGTATCACGCTCCACTGGTTTAGATGCGCCATCGGATGAGGAGTATGGATGGCAAGAAGACGGAGAGGAGGAGGGTGTGGAGGTGGAGCCGTTGTGAGCCGTCGTCCTCGCCCCCCCCGTGCTGTCTTTTCCTCCAGTTAGTGCATGAAGGTGCAGCTGCAGTTTGGCGGGGCAAATGATGATGGCCAAAGCTCCTTCGTCAAACACCCATGGGAGCATCAATTTCCCAGTTCAGCTCCTCAAGAGGATCCTGGCCTGTGGGAATCCCGACATTTTTTAACTTGGGACATTGTCTGTGTTTGTCTGCTCCGTGTCGATCGTTGCAGTAGGGGGGAATGGGGTCATCATCGCTTGTTCGGGAGATGTGCCTTGGATGGGTCTCCGGGGGAGTCGCGCATTGGATTTGTGAGAAGAGCGGAGGTGGCAGGGGGAGGAATTGTTTGAGAAGGAGCACGATAAGTGCGGGGCTGAGGCAGGTCGGATGAGGATGGGGACCGGGCAGGAAGAACGAGACGGGGGTCAGGCGAAGGAGGCGAAGGGGAAGAAGGAATATTCCGTCGAGGGCCAGGTGTACGAGGGGCAGGACGGGGAGGGACGAGTGGAGAAAGAAGGGGAGAATGGAGACGACAGGGAAGGGAGTGAGTAGGAGCCTGATGAGGATTATGCATATTATTATCACGATGAGGACAGTAAGCCCGTCTGCTCCTGGTCACATGGGAGTGGGGGGGGTTCGTGTGATGGAGGGAGTGACGAGTTTCAGTCGACCAGCGGACCAACATGACATGTTGTATGCTATTTTCTCCGTCGTCCTCTTCTCGCTGTTTCTCGTTTTCCTCATGCGTTCGTGGTCCTTGCTTCTCAGTCCTTCTCCAGAATGGCCATCCTAATCGTCGTCGTGTCCCACGGAGCGTTGCGTGCGAGGCACTGGCAGATTCCGGCCCTTCACACCAAGGGGCTGCCTCGTCTTCAGGAGCCTGGGTTGCAAGGGGCGGGCTGATTTTCTCCGTCGTTATCGTTGTCGTTGTCCATGTCTCTTTTTCTCTTTCCATATTCCCCCCCTCTCTCTCTATTCTCCACCCTTTTCTCCACCTTCGTTGTTGTTTCTTGTGTGTTTCTCTATCTCCCTCTCTTTCAAGTTCCCCCCTCTACACATGTGCAGATATACGCATGTATGGATGTATGTATTTATGTGTGTATGTATGTATGCATGTATGCAGATATGTGTGTATGCACGTATGCATGCATGTATGTAGGTAGATAGACAGGTCGGCGTGTCTGTATGTATGCGTGTATGTATGCATGCATGCATGTATGGATGCAAGTAGTTGTGTGTATGTATGTAGGTATGTATGCATGCTCGTATGTACCATGCCGTTCAGATTTCATACATGTGTGCACGCCTGCGCGTCTACTTGCGTGTTTGCATGCATGTATACATGCATGCATGTATGTATGCGTGTATGAATGAATGCATGCATGCATGTGTGTATGCATGTGTGTATGTATATATGAATGTCTGTGTACACGCATGTATGCACGCATGCATGTATGCATGCATGCATGTACTTAGGGATATATGCATACACATATCATATGTATGCATGCAAATATTTATGCATGCATGTATGTATACACGTATGTGTGTCTGCATGTATGTATATATGTATGCAGACATGCATGCATGCCTTATGTATGCATTCACGTATATATGTCTCGTTGCATGTATATATGCATGTCTGCATGCATGTATGCATGCATGCATGCATGTATGTATTTATGTATGTGTGTAAATAGGTATGCATGTATGTATACATGTATGCACATATGCATGTGTGTATATGTATGCATATGTGTATCGTTCATCACTCTGTCTACCGCACGCCAGTGCTGCGACGCGAGGGGGGGTGATGGAGGGGGCGGAGGGAGAGGGGGGAGACGTGGACAGGGAGGTGAGGGAGGGGGGCGGGAGGGCGTGATACCTCTTCCTCCCTCGCCGTCCCTTAATGCTGTCCCTCAGTGTCTTGGCCCGTGCGAGGGGAGACGTGTAGGCCAGGAGGGGAGGGAGGCAGCTGCCCTTGTCCTCCTTATCTTCATCCCTCTGAGAGGAGGCGTCCTTTCTTGAGGGGCTTTGCACTCTGGAAAGAGGCTTCTGCGGGGTCGCAGGTCTCGGTTCGTCTTCCTCGTTCGTTCCTCGTGCGTTTTGCTGGATTCGTCTCGCGCGCAGGCGCCCTGTTCTCAGGGTCGGGGGCCCACGCTGTTCCTTCGCAGGCCCCCCTGGCGCCCGCGGGGGAGACGGGCCCGAGCGATGCGCGCTGGCGCTCGAGCTCGTCGCGCGGGCTTGCCGGGGCCCCTGCGCTGCAGCCCGAGCAAGTTCGATCCCCGCCGGTGGACGCGCCAGGCTCGCGCCAGCTACTGGGTGAGGGCTCGGACCTCTTGTCCCTGGTTCGCGAGAGCAGTTCTGTGGAACAGCGGGCGCACCGCAGTTAGGCCATATCGACAATCCACTGCTGCCTCCAAGCAGCCTTGGAGGAAAGCACCAACAAGCGGTATAGCAGTTCCCTGCGCACCGGCGTAGATTCTTTCGAAACTTCGGCAGGGCTGCAGCTCTTGGCCGTGCGACTCAGACGTGAAATTCAGGCTGCTGTTCGCCCAGATGGACGGCCAGTCCTGGTCATCTGTCACGAATCTGTGCGCGGCAGTGCGTTGTTGGCACCAGCAACGCAATTTGTCAGCACAATTCGATGGTGCATGGACAGACCGGTCGGCCTAATTTTGGAGAGGTCTGAAGAAACGGGCCGACCATTCACGGTCGCACGCAAAACGCCCAGTATTTGTGGACGAATTGCGGCGCTACCAGAGCGTCCGCCTCAAAGCTAGCAGCCAGGCTGCTGCCCAGGACGCCGCTATTATAGCCGCTATAGTAGCAGTTTCCTTCTTCGGCGTCCGGAGGTGTTCCGAGACGCTCGCCCCTCCGGCGTCGAAACATTTTTTGGCACGAGAATTTTGCGACAACCATCGTGGCCCGCCAAAACAAAGACCCTCTCGGGCAAGGCATGGTGTGCCACGTCCCAAGGATGGTCGACACCCCCGAGCCTATGCCCTTGCCGCCTCCTGCAGGAATTGGTTGGCGCAGCGGGACTCGCGCCGGGGGTCCAACCCAGACGCTTCCGTGTTTTGCACTACTCATTTGGCGGAGCCTCGCCCCGTGAATTGCGATTCTTCCCGCCGAACTTTCACGCAGTTCTTTCAGACTGCTGCAGTAAGAACGCACTCGCTGCGCAAAGGCGGCGCCCACTGGTACAAGACAGCGTGCTGCGTGCCGGAAGAACTGGTTTGCCGGAGAAGCCATGCGAGCCTCTTGCGCCCGTTTCTCACATTCGGAACGGTGCGAACAGCTGCTACGTGCCGTGGCTACAGCTTCGAGTGGCGCGGCGGTCCCGGCCACTACTCATCGCCAAGCGCGCGTTTCACCACTGCCTCTGCGGAGGCACCTCGCTGGGAGTTTGTAAACACTCGTTTCATCGGGGTTGCGCCTGGCCCGTGCTCCTGGTAACCGTTCTTGGGTCATCTCGGACTTGGCCAGGCCAGCCTGCAGCTCCATGAGGCACCCCACAAGAGGCAGATTTTGCCTGCGCAGGACCCCCAGCTTTGGACTTAGAAACACATTTTTTTTCGACTCCACCCTCCAGCCACGGGGGCAGCGAGTAAGCAGAAGGCGTCCTTTCTTAAGGGGGCTCTGCGCTCGGGAAAGAGTCTTCTGCAGGGTCGCAGGTCTCGGTTCGTCTTCCTCGTTCGTTCCTCGTTTGCCCCTACTGTTGAAAAAAATCCGTCGCCTCCACCTCCTTGGAAAGCTGAGCGCGAGGGGGCGGAGGAGGAGGAGGAGTTGGAGTAGGAGTGGGGGGGGGAGGAGGAGGGGAAGGAAGTGGACGGAGATGGCGGGTGGTGACGGAGGGGCAGCGAAGGCAGGGAAAGCAGGATACGCAGGAGCAGGAGGGAGGGAGGGAGGGGGGGACGCCGGAGAAGGGGAGGGACGGGACATATGGTCGGAGGCAGCGAAAGGGGGATAGAAATAAGGGGGACGCGTTTCCCAATCGTTCATTGATCGCCGATAAGGTCCCGATAGCCCCACCCTGCCCGATAGCCCTACCCTTGCCCGAAGGCAAATCGCCGATCCATCGGCGATGTATCGCCGATTTCAGCTCGGTGTTTCCCCCCCCCGACCTGGTCCCGTCCAATCCGTCGCCCCTCGATGGGGCGGCGGAGGGTCGGTGCCATCAAAATAGGAACGGAACGGGAGGTGACGAAGAAGGATAGCAGTTCTTGCCCTTTTTGAACAGGGCGCTGCCCCTTTGGGACAGAAGGTCGCCTGTCCAACAGCGGCGGCAATCGGTTTTGGACAACGTCTGTTTTTGTACATCGCGCCACTTTGTTCCGTACCCATTTCGGGCGTGCTATGCGGAGGAGGGGGGGTGACCAGGTCTTCTCGCGGAGCGTTTCGAGTCTGTGCCGGCTCCCCTTCCGATCGTCATGTTCGTGTCGCTGGTTACCCACAAAACCACGACCAACAACGGAAACCCACGTCACGTTCTTTGGGAAAAGGAGCTGAACGAGAGGCCAGGAACACATTGCACTAACAATCACTACAATTTGCATGTTCGTGATTTTGCACAGTATTCTGGGGTACGTGCATTTCTGTTGCATTGGGAGTCATATCGACAAATACAAAACACCTCAGAACACACGCGCTCGCTTTGGGATGTAATCTATATTTTTGGATAAGGCTCCCAGGGGGTTCTCGAAGATTATATATGTTGGGTGAGTGTTGTCGAACATGCTTTCGGGACAGGGTGCTGCCACACCACCTTTGGAAGATCATCGGGAGTTCGATGCCTTTGTCACCCGCCATTTTTGTTTACTTACTGCTACAAGGAGAGGGGGGCGACAAAACCGGAGGCACGAAGTACCGCTCGTTACATAATGGCGAAGTACATTATATGTTCGGGTCGTGTCGCACTAGCGCAGAACTTGCAGTGCAGCGATTCCGGCTATGGCAACAAATCGCACGACATTTTGATAATTGTCTTTTGCTTGTTTGCGCTGTTCTTGGTGATTTGGATTTTGAGCGGAAGTCCATGTATAACCTTAATGAAATTCTATTGGTGCAGGCTAATCCTTGGGCCCGATGGCTCTTGGTAGACCTGGGGGTGTTATCCTGGAGCGACGACAGCATTCATTCCCGAAATGGTGGAGGACCGGCTAGAACGTTTGTTTGTTGTGTCTGATATCCATGGGGCGTTCATCCATGTCGACTTTTCCTCAGTGCGTGCTGCTAGTGTGTCTTTTCGTGTGCCACTTCCTGTGCATTCTGTGGCCCTGGTCCTGGTCCACATATTGTTTTTTTTCTGATCATGAAATAACGTATGCGTGCACAGTCACTCCAGCTCGATTCGACACGTACGGCAAGCTCAGAGCGCACAAGGTACATTCTAAAAATGAGTCACATGGAGCGAACTTCATTGCACGATTACTGCCGTTCAAAACAGATGCTGGGCATTTTTACACACATTTGCATTTATCGTAGCATGTCGTCGCCAGATCGTACACAGTATTTGCACGGGGCGCTGTTCAGGGAAGGGCCGAGTTACCCGAGGCGATTTTGAGCTGCGAGGCGCCTTTCGATGTTCGGGACTTCGGTGGTTCTGTACGTGCACATCTACTGTTTGCTCATTTTCGGGCTCGTCTTGCTGCCACGGCTGTTCACCCGCCCCTCGTTGATATTTAGCGTTTGCGATGTATCAATGGAGGCGCAGTAGGGTATTCTCAAGAACTCTGGCGGGAAAAACAGAACACCGATTCTCAAGTTGCGAGTTGCGGGGGCGATGCTGCGTTGCTTGTGGTGTTGCAGGCTACTGCGAACCTGGCAGTCAAAACGGCGAAGCTGCAGTCAGCCAGCGTCCTTCGGATCCGGACACTCACGGCCGACCTGCACACTGTATTCAATGCGAACGGCACCGAACATGGCCTTTTGAAGGCCATGCATGCGTACACCCAGAAGCGAAGCATGAGCAGGACACCCACGAGAAGCGTGGCCATGCTGGGGGCACCACGGACCGCCATGATGAAAAGAGGTTGCTCTTACCAATGGCAAGGGTGCGCCCGAACGAAGCATCCCGCACTCTCTAGATGGAGACGGCGGCCAGGCTCATGGAGCCAAAAGCAATCCGCGAAGCCATCACGACGTGCAATTGCCAGGAACGCTACGAGTCTGCCAAAGGCACCAACATTGAAATGTGTGTTCGGGCCCGTTGGGGCAGCAGCTCAAAAACGTGACGATGTCATGATTTGAGACAGAGAACGTCGCCTTCGCGTGCTGGGAAACCACCGCGCGGCAACGGCGCGCGCGACGTGGCTGCGGCATTCGAGGAAACGTAACAACTCTGCGGTCGAACGCTTGATTTCTCATTTGTCTCTTTGTCGTTTCTGTCCGCTCTGCTGCGTGGTGTGCGTGCATGGTTGCGCGCGTGCGTGCATGCGTGTGCGTGCGTTTCGTTTCTCGTGTGTCCCTCGTCCTCCCCCGCTCCTCTTCCGCGCCGTCAATCCAGGTAAATCGTTCGTTTGATTGGATCTCAGCGTCTAGCGGCAGCGCCTTCACCCCGAGGGCGGCTCCGCGGGGGGCGCGCCGCGCCCAGAGTGGCGGCGACAACACGGCCACCCAGAGGGCAGGTTATCTTGACCAGATTTTGGTTTCTGCTGGCGTTCTCTTTCCTCTCCTTTTCCGTCCCCCAGAACGGCCAGGGGCACACGGGTCAATGCGTGATGGGATCCCGTTTGTTATCCCAGTTCTTCTCCCTCGCGGCCGTCCCCTTTCCCCCCCGCCCTCCCCCGTTCCTCGATCCCTTGCTCCTCCCCCCCTTCCTCCAGGGGTCGGGCCTTGTCAACTATGAAGTCTCGGACTGTCGTCATAGCTGCGCCGTTCTCCTTGGGTTCTGTTTGCGCATCGATATCCCCGTCTCCAGAGGCGTCGATGCGTTTTGACGGGCATCGGGCGCGTGCCGTTTGTGGAAGCATCGAAGAATTCTCAGATCGAGTCGAAAGACGGACGGAAGAGGAGGAAGGACGCAACGAAAAGCGGGCGAGGGAGGGAGGGGGTATGGGGTGGAAAAGTGAAGAGGGAGAGGAGGGAGGAGTCGCTGGTTGGAACGCAGCCCCCTGAGTTCGATTACGAAACGCGGTCACCGCCCATGTCGGAAACCCGAAACATCACACATTTGGCGTTTTCATGTATCACCTTCCTTGTTCACCCCTCCTCCATCGCCTCTCCGCATCCACCTTGCCGTTGTCGCGTCGCACATGATATCAAACGTTGTTGTTTCAGTTTCTCATATTTGTGTTGTTGCAATCCGACTGTTCTTGGTGTTTTTAAATGGCGTTCCCGTTGCGGCATCGACCTCATCATCGGATCGGCGATGTGCTCCCGTTTTTGAGAATGGCACTCTCGCCATATCCCGGGCATCTTTTGTGGATTCGAGTTTTGTTTCATCGGTGTCACCCACTTAGTTCCCCATCATCCGCGTTCCCCTGGTCCTCTTGCCCCCCCCGCTCTTGGCACTCGGGCTGATTTTGTTGCGGTTTCTCCTCGTACCCTTCATCCTTTTCCATTTCCTCCTCGTTTTCCTCCTCTTCCTCTTCCTCTTCCTCCTGCTCCGCCTCCTCCTCATCCTGCCCATCCCTTTGCTCATCTTCCTCTTCTCTTCCTTCTCCAATGTACGCCGCTCCTTTTTTCCCTGCGCACAAGGCGACGGGGTCCTCTTTGGAGCCCCGGGTCCGCTATGACACCAGCCGGGAAATATTGAGCGACGATAGTCATCACAGTGGGAAGTGACGGGCGGGAAGGGGAGGATGTCAGATATGGCGCGCATTTTCTTTTGCCATTTTCATTCGGCTCGTGTCTTCCCATTATTATCAAACTTCTTCTCGTTCCTCATCGTTCCTTTTTTCGTTTTTGTCCTCCCCCTGCCCCGTGCCCCCCTCCTTTTTCACCTCCCCCCAACCCATACACACACACACACACGCACGCACGCACACACACACACACCACACACACACGCACACACACACACACACGCACACACGCACACACGCACACATACACACACGCACGCACACACATCCTCACGTACACGCACACGCACACGCGCACGCACACGCACACACACACACACACACACACGCACACGCACACGCACACGCACACGCACACGCACACGCACACGCACACGCACACGCACACGCACACGCACACGCACACGCACACGCACACGCACACGCACACGCACGCACGCACGCACGCACCGCACGCACGCACGCACGCAAGCACGCACGCACGCACGCACTCACGCACGCAAGCACGCACGCACGCACACACATACACACACGCACACACGCACACACGCACACACACACACACACACACACGCACGCACGCACGCACGCACGCACGCACACACACGCACACACACACACACACACTCACACTTTCACACACTCACACACTCACACACTCACAAACTCACACACAACACACACAACACACACAACATACAACACACACACACAATCACCATTCTGCATTCCCCCTCCCAGTGCTGCCTCCCCCTCGCCCCTTGCCTCCCCGACCCCCGGCTCGCCTTCCACAGTCACCCACTCTCCCTGGACTACGTCCTGGAAGTATCGCACTCTCTCCGTGTATTTTCTCATGCAGATTTGAATCACTGGTTTGCCAAACGCTCCTTTCAATCGGATTATGTTCGGTGTCACATATCCGGATATCCGAGTCCTTCTCCGTTGTTGTCGCCCCGCGTTTATCTCTTCCTCCGCCATCCGCTGGGTGTCCTGCTCTTCCCGCGCCTCCCAGTACTTCTCCGGCTGCTGGTGTTCATCCTCCTCATTTCCCTCCTTCTTGTCATCTTGCTGATCAGCCATCTCCTCCTCCAGCGTTCGCAGCTCCCCTTTTTCTGATTGCGCATCAGACGATGGGGTCCTTTTGGGGTTGCAGGTCCGCTGTGACACCCGTGGGCAGGTGGAGGGACAAATCAGCGCAATGGGAAGTGATGGGTGGGAGAGGGAGGACGTCAGATACGGCGCGAGCGCGCCTGGCCTGATGAGATTACGAGTCTCCGTTCTCCCCTGACCATGTCGTGGAGGTTATCCAGCCCTTTTCGTGTATGCTTGTTATTCCATTGGGTTTCAAACGTGTGTGTGCTGCAGGCTTTGTTTCGTCGGAACGTGCTCCGTGTTTCAACACGGTGTTCCCTGGATTGCGTTGGCCTCATTTCGGGATCTGCTGCTCGTTCCCGTCGTTGATAATGGCGCGCCTGCCCCAGCGCGGGCCACATTTCTGGATCCAAGTCTCACCTCGTTGTTGGCGCCCCGTTCCTTTCCCCTTTTCCGCCTTCCTCTGGTCCTCGTCCTCCCTCTCCTCGTGCTCCTGTTCCTGCTGCTGCTGCTCCTCGTCCTCACCGTTCCTTATCCTTCTCCTCCTCCACCTCCTTCTCCTTCTCATCCTGCTCATCGTCGTGCTCATCCGCCACCTCCTCCTCCTCCTCCTACTCCTCCCCCTCCCTCCTAATGTACACAGCTCCTTTTTTGACTGAGCATGCCGCGATGGGGTTCCCTGGAGAATTCCAGGTCAGGACCGTTATGACATCCGTCATCGCAATGGTAATGGACAGGTTGGATGGGGGAATGACATGTGGCGCGAGCGCGCCTAGCTTGCTCCCACCCTCTCCCTTCCTCCCCCCCCCCGCCTCCCACCTTCCCCTGCTCATTTCCCCTTCCCTTCCTCCCTCCTTCCCCTCCTTCTCCGCCCTCCCCTGCCAGTCCCCCGGCGTCGTGTTCTTTCCCGCACCGCCGCTGTCCCCTCCGAGCTGCTGGCCCGCCCGCCGCCCACTCCGAGGAGAGCCCTTGGCCGCAGCGGCAGGCGCACGCGGCGGCAAGGGCGGCGCAGCAGCAGCGCCCGCGCAGGAGCCCCGGCTGCAGGCGTCGGAGAGCAAGAGCAGCAGAGCTCAGACTCACGGGCGACACGCGAGCGACGCGAAACAACGGGGTCGTTTGCGCCGGCATTGGTCCAGGCCCCCCAGATGGGGTCCGAGTAGATGGGATCGGAGGATCATGCCGCATCGCGGATGCATCGGCAGTGCGGCTCGATGAGGGGCCCAATTTTCTACACGCCAGCGTCGCCAATGCATCGCTGATGTCGACGATGCATCGCCGATGTATTGGCGATGCATCGGGGATGCGGAGCATTCCTCCGACCCCATCTACTCGGGCCCCATTTGGGAAGCCTCTAATTAGCGCGTAAGCTGCCCGCGTGAGGCCACGCGTCAGCGCCTTCGTTGCAAGTGTGGCGTGCTGCGCTGACGGTCCGCGTGAGCCACCGCGCAAGGTCGCTGGGTCATCGCGCGTAAGACCCGTTTCTTTTCGTCGTCCATGTGTGCACAGTACTGCGGTTGCGCCTCTCGTGGCGTCGTCGATCTTCGACCCAGGAATGGTACGGTGCATAGCTTTCCGGCCCTGATAGCCGAATAAAAAATAAAAAACAACGCACCGCGCCGGAGCGGGGCTTGAAGGTAGTGCACCTGGTACGGTGCATGTCTGGCCTTCGGGGGGGCCTCGTAGCCACGGCTGGACGTAGCTCGGGAAATTTGTGCGTTTGGACCCCAGGAGGAGTCCAGGGACCAAAATTGAGTTGCCGTTGTCTGAATTCGCCTTACTCCGAACAGCTCTCGGAACTCTCCACACGATCGGTATGGGTATGGAAACAATCGTTACGGAGACTACTAACAGCAGGTCCTGTCCAGTTTGAACAGGGATCGCTGTCGGTGACACCGCGGACGGCGTTCTCTGGGACCACAGAAATCGCCTGCCCAACATCGGCCACTGTCGGTTTAGGACAGCACGTGTTGTTGTGCTTTACCCGTTTTGGGCGTCCGGGGACTCAGGGGCAACCTTTCGAAAGTTTCGAGGCGCGCGGGGACGCAATGTTTCAAGGTTTGCGATGTTCGAGCGTTTTCGTCGGGTCTTGACGGTTTTCCAGCCTCGGGATGCTTTCCAGCGGCTGCGCCTCGCCGAGAGCGTTCACAGGATGCCTTCAGCGGCTGCGCCTGCCGAAAGCATTCCCAGGGTGTCCAGACCGTGCCGAACGAGCGCTGGAGAGCCGAGTCATGACCCGAAACGTCAACAGTAACGATAGGGGGGCGATCGGCTTAGGGAGAGATGCATCGACCCCCCAATCGCCCATTGATCGCCGACGTGCGCTCAATGATAGGCCCCCCCGTTCAGGAACGCGCAGATTCGCCGTCGGGGGTCTATCGCCGATGCATCGGCGGATGCCTCGCCGATTCCAGGTCGATGCTTCCCCCCATCAGTAACCCCCCTGCCGTTGCCCCTCACGAGAGGTGCACACTCGTGCAGTTTCAGTGTTTTGGGTCGCAGCGCTGGCGAACGCTCAGCGCTGTCGGGGCGGCAAGTTGGGCCACGGAGCAGCGAACGAGGCATTAAAAACAGAAGAGCGAAGACGAGGGCGGACGGCCGTGCGGGCAGGACCTGCATCCGTGTCAACCGTCTCTCGGGTTTCCGAACTCCCGTGCCTACAGGCCGGAGACGCGGTTGATAGGAGTGAATCCTGTCGCATCTGGCGAATTTCCAATTTTTGATCCACGCCAGCAGGTAGTACCGCATACTTCCCAATTGAGTACCAGTCTCTCGCACGGGCCCCGTCCGACGCAGTGGCCCGTGCACCCCGCAGGCAGCATCTGCGCGCGCCCGAGGCACCAGAGCTTGCTCGCCTGCCGCTGCACCCTCCGGACCCGCCGGCTCGCCGAGATGCCCGACTCGCCTCGGCGCGAGCCTGTCTTCGCCCTGCCCTCGTCCTGGATCCTCGGGGGCCGGGGGCTTCCCCAGGTCGGAAGCTGGAGTCTTTCAATCCCAGGATTTCTTTGAGGGTCGAGGACGACGCTGTGGTGGTGTGGTGCATACGATCGTCCCCGATGTCCCGGGGAAACAACGAAACATGTATACACCAGGGTCCCATATGTATACATATACATATTTACATATATATATATATATATACATTCATGTATATATATATATACACACACCAGGATCCGCTCTCCAGGGCAAATTCTGATGCAGGGCCCGAAGAAGCGTCGGTGTATAGAGTTCGATTCCCTACCGAGGGCCCGTCGTGGAGGGCCTCAGGGGCTCCAGGGCGGCGAACAAGATCTGGGGCCGCTTTGGGTGCCCGATTCTTTCGTAGATACATGGCATGCGCGTTAGCAGCGCTATTTTGACCACCAGCTTATCTGGAGCTTGTCTGGTTCTCCCCAGGCATGCCATCGTTTCCAACAGTTTTGGCGCAACCACTTGTAAGCCTTTCGCGCACACGAAGCGGATGTTCCACCATGACAAGTCTATCTCGCTGGAGAAGAGACCAAGCCACCCGCGGGACGCTAAGATAATCGCGCCTCACGCGTCTCGGTCTGGGCCAGGGCGCCTGCCCCGCCGAGCTCACCCGCCCGCCGAGCTCGCTTGCTGCCCCGCCGAGCCCATGGGGCCGAGCCGGCCGTGGCCCCCCCTTAGGACCCGGCGCAGGGGAGCCGCCCGGCGCAGCCGCGTTTCTGCCCGTACTGCGGCAAGCCGAAGCAGGCTCTGGCGCGGAGCCGGCCCGAGGGCTCGGCGGGCCGATCGTCTACCACCATTACCACAGGAAGGCGAGGGAGGAGAAGGAGGGAGGGAGGGAGGGAGGAGGAGGAGGAGGAGGAGGAGGAGGAACTCCGAGTTTGACTGCCCTCGGTGAGGGCCGCGACACTTTCTCGCATGGGCATCGGTACATTGGCCCACCGGCATCAGCCCTTGTACAGGACAGTAGAGGCCTTGGTAACAGTTGGGCGCAAGGGACCAGCCCTGATTTGCAGAGGCGACGCAGCGATCCACCTTGGACAAAGCCGCCGCAGCGTGTGCCGAGCTGCCAGAGCCCGCACGGCTTCAAGGGCATCGTTTCATAGGCCCTGGCATATTTGCCTAAGCGCTTTGAATGGCGCAGCACTGCAATGTGACAGGATCGGGGAGGATTCGCGAGTGGACAGGATGCGGGCTGAGAGCCGCCGTTCATTCTTGCGCTTGCACGCGTATTTCGGTACTCCAGCTTCCCGCTCTGTTATCCTTGTTGTGTTACTCCATTGATTCGTTGGTTGCTCCTCTGTCCCTCCACACGGCAGCCGCCGAGTTACTCTTTGCCCCCAAGGGCCACACGTTTTTACCACAGATCTTGCCACATCCCTATCCGCATTGGCGGTTGTCTTAAGTTGTTTGGCAAGGCCTTAGTCGGCGCTTATATTCCTTGAGGCCTAGCACCCTTCTTCTGGACGCCAAAAGTTTGCTCTTCAGGTCCGACCAGCGTCAGAAAAGGAGGAGGAGGAGGTAGATAGAGCGGCCTTGGGGGGCGGAGCAGTGCGTTGAGCAATATGGATGGGCACCCGCTGTCGCCGCTCAGAGCGGCACCTTCATTTTGGCCACGGCGCCACGCAGCAACAGCCACTTGCCGAACGAGGCGTAGTCGATCGGTCATTCCCGTTCTTAAAATCAAAACCCTGCCAACCACGCTGCAAGTTTATCTTCCATGACTCCCGGTGGTGGCTTGCCCGACTTCACCGTGGCTCTCACTTGCACCAGTGCGCGGTGGATACTGTCCTTGATGTTGGACTGGTGCTGCTGGAGCTCGGTTACATCTTCCTCAGCTTCGGCTTCTGTCCATGCGCCCTGCTCGATGTAGGTATGGTTGCTGTCGTAGCACTTGCTGAGCGTCAGGTTCTTCACTTTGTTGAGGACCGTCGCTGCACTGATGGTGTCCACGAACTTCCCGCATTCGGTCAGGATGGTTCTGGGCTTGGCTCCCCGTACAGAGGGCCGAAATAAGCGTGATATAAAGGTGCCCCTCTGGTGGCCCGAAAGGATGGCCCTTGCCCGCTTCCTTGCATTTTCGCGTAAACCTTCCTGCAGGCTCGTAGTGTTTCGATCACATTGCTCTGCGTCGGCATAAGGTACGTGGTTTGAACGGCTGTCACCACTCAGGCCAGTTGCTGCGTGCTGACGAGTACCTGCTTGATGAGGACGCTGAGGAGTTTCTCTAGTTTTGGGTCGCACTTGGTTTGGTAGGCGTTGCCTCCGCGTTGATGGTGTTGCAGGCGCTGTCCAGCTGCTGCTGCTGCGGCGTTGCCCTCGCCATTGTCCTGCGCGTCGCCCATGTGCTCGTCCTCTTCCTCTGTTGTGCCCCTGGCCTCGCGCCCTTTTTCTGGTTGCCTTTGCCGCCCTTGTGGTGCGAAGTCTTCAGGTGCTTGGTCGACCGACCGGTGTCGGCTAGAGTGCTGGCGACCTCGTTAAACTCCTGCTCGCTGGGCACGCACCACGTCACCCGTGAAGAGGCTGATGTCCAATGGAATATCGCGCTGGTCGGAGGGCAGATATGTTTGGCAAGCGTGGTCGTGGAAACTTGAGGGTTGTGTAAGCGGCAGCAGATCGTTCTCGACAGGAAGTAGTGGGAAGCTGAGTCTCGTGTTGTCGGCAATGCAATGATTGTGCTTGAGAGAGCGCAATCGATGATCTTCGGCTTGGGCACGATCGAGACATGTAGCACGACAGAGAGGACACTGATTCGTGATAGCGACCGCTGCCGCTGCAGATCGTAGCCTGTGTTTTCCTTTTTTTGTCGCGGTCTGGTGCGTGCACAGCGTTGCCCATGTCGGTAAAATTCGGCCACAGATTTGTCATTTGTCCTGCATGAATTCACACTTGAGCAATCCCATCCCATCGCCGTCGCGCAAGTCTTCTGCAGGTTGGTGTGACTCGAAGCCCGGAGGAGGAATCGATACTGCTGAAGCCTTGGCTCTGAGCTCGGCCACGTCTATCTTGGGGAATGCCAGACCGACTTCTGCATCATGATATATGTGTGTAATGCTTCCGCCCCGCGTGTAACTGAACTGCTCTGCAATGTTGAGCTCGAGAATGGAGAGGATGTCGTGGTAATACTGCTTGGCCATCGGTGTCGCGTCTGGGGTGAGGTGCCCGTTGCCGTCCAGCTCGCCGAACTGGTCTCGGCTGGCGTCGTTCTCGAGCTGGACGAGTCCGAATGAAGCCGTGAGCCACTGGTCGTAGTTCTGGCGGGTGTTTGATTGAGGCCTGTATCATGCGAAGGCGGCGTACACGTAACTCCTATGAACATCGGCGAAATGTCGCAATAGCTGTAGACCTCGATGTTGCTCATGGTGCGATAGGTGCCCAGGTCGTCCGCGTTGGTCGCTGTGTCCTGCATGAGCACTCGCAGGCGCGTTGCGGCGACGGCGTCCAGGCGCTTGTACTCGGTGCCCCTCAGGTAGTAGGACTCCATGCCGCTGGCGGCGGCGCCCGCAATGCGGTTGATGAAGATGATGCTCTTGAGGTGCCATGCGACGCGTCGGTGCCAGAACGTGCCCATTATGTGCCATGTTCGTTTGTTGCTGTGGATCCGCTGGTCAGTCTCTGCCGCGTCGCTGCCTGCGCGGTGCAAGTGGCCGCCCAGGAACTTCATGGTGCGTAGGCTTCGCCCAGGATGAGGTGTTGTAGCGCTCGGTTCTCGCGCCTGGCGCGTAGCCCTCCGACGATCTCTTCCGCGCTCCTGTTTTGGTGGGCGCCGCATTTGGCCAGGGTGGCGTCGAGGATGGCGTTGCGGTTTTTGAGGGCGGTGGTTGTGTCTTTGGCCAGTCCCACTTTGATGCGGTGCATCTTGAACATGTCGTCTATGTACAGGTAGATGGAAAGGTTAATCGAAACGCGCGTGATGGGCGACGCGGCAGCGAAGGGCTTGGTGTCATTGGGCGCTTGGTCAAACAATTTCCCCACAGGGTGTTCGTGCACGAAGTTGAAGGAGGTGGGCCCTGCGCTGCGTCCTGGTCTAACCCCTGAGCCCATGCCGAAGTTGCCCGTCTGGTCAAACCCGTCGGTCTTGACGTTTGCGCATGGGTAGCGTTGTTGGAAAAGACGCTGCCCCGCGATGCCGATGTCGGTCGAGGTGGCGTCGACGGCCTTGTCGGCATTGGTGTCGGTCAACGCGTTGGTTGTGTCCTTGCTGGCCACGGCGGAGTCTGCCTTGGCCCGCTGGAGTCGGTACGCCACGATCCTGGAGGCAGTCATTGGCACTTCGCGTCTGCGATGAGGCCAGCATCTGTGAGCGCGCGGCGGTGGCGACCACGGCCAGCACTGCAGCTGTCGGTGGAAGCGCCGTCAGATGGGGCACTGCATGTGTAATATGCGAAGTCCGAGTGTTTTGGGCATGCCGTCCTGCTCGTCGTTGGCGAAGCTCTGGTTGCGGCGGGCGTCCAGCGGTGCGAAGCCGACGCGTTAGACGCGGTTGAGGACGGACTCGAAGTTCTTCTCTGTGGGGGGGCGCCTCCGCGAGCTCGCCATCGTAGCCGATTCCCGTTGTCTTTGTCTTTGCCCGGTGGTGGTGGCAGGCTGCGATGTCACCTGGTAGATCTCGGCCGGCACCGACCTTTCTGGTTCGGCGGCGCGCATCTTGAAGTACTGGAGCCTCTTTTTCGCGCCGTAGAAGACCCTGATGCTGTTGCCCTTGGCCTGCTCGCACTCTCCGCGGATCTGGAGGTTGCGCTGTGTGGTGAAGTCGAGGGTGCTCGGCTAGAGCGCCTGGTTAACTTCGTCCAGTTCGATCTGGTAGGCTTCGAAGCCTCCGCTGTGTTCTTCTTGCGCCACGTGCTGTGCCCATGCTGCGAGAGTTGGCCGCGCACGGTTGGCCCTGCAGCAGTTGCGGTTGCGCTTGCCCTGGTTGGTGCCAGTTAGTAGACGAGCGAGGCGGTGCACTTCAGCATGCCCCCGGTTCTGCCAGGCTTCGTAGACGAGGGCATATTGTTTGCGTCGACGTTCTGTTTCGTGCAGTCGTTTCTGCCGCTTCAGCACCCTGGAAAGGAGCTCGAGCTGGTACTCAGTGTTGTTGTCGACGTAGCCAACCTCCAACGCATTCTCGTCTTAGCTCAGCTCTGGCATGTAGTAGCTGGAGCCTCTCTCTCATCAACTGCTGGTAGGCGCCGGGTTTTTTCTTCGTGCGTTCGAAATACGGCGTGGCTGTTTCCGCCAGGATCTGCGCGAGGAGCTCCCAGTGGTCATCTGTGGTGCTCTCCGCTGCTAGGCGCTGCAATGTATCTCGGTGCGCGTTGAGGTTGGCCTCTAGCGACGCGATGAACTCGAGACGGGGGTGAGGCCGTCGAGCCCGTTGTGGCCATTGAGGTCGAGGCCGATGATTGGCGTACTCCTCGCTGGTGTCGCGCGGAGTGTCTTGTTGATCCACTTGGCCGTCTCATTGACCGTCTTGACCCACGCGTTGTGCTGCGCTGCTGGCCCTGACCGCGGTGGGAGATACGCCACTATGAAGTTGAGGTCGAGCTCTCCACATCTTAGACGCAGTGCTCCTGCATGTCCCTGGGTACTGGCAGGGGGGCTCCGCAGGTGGGTAATGCGCCTTGCGCGGTAGCTGCGGCTGCTGATCATGATGGCGCCCCCCGCGTAGTTGTTGGTGAGCGGGCCCCTGCCATATCCCCAGGGGAGGATGCGGTGCTTGTAGATCTGTGGCTGATCGACGGTGCTGCTGGCGTCGTGCTGTC